GGGGAGTCACAAAACGACAGCCTGGACTCTAAGAGCCCTTGCAGGCTGTGACTCCTGCACACAGGTCTTTGCTCCCTCACACTGGCTCGAGTCATGTGCTCTCCCTCGACCTCCCCACAAGGTCTGCATTTGATGGCTGTCCTAGGGTTTGTACTGTGCCCTCAGCCTTTCCCTCCACTGCACACCATGTCCATAGACAAGTGTTCCCAACCACATCGGGCTCCCAGAAGGCCCCCGCGTGGCCCCCTGGTTTCACATGGCAGCACGCCCCACCCCTGACAACACCCCAGGCTGTGGAGCATCTGGGGACCACGCTTGGGTCTTAGACAATTGTGAGCGTCAAAACATCTGACTTGGGGCTCAGCACACAGCAGGGGCACGGTCAGTGCTGAAGAATCGTGCCCAAGTGCAAAGCTCACAACCTGCCTCACTTGGTCCATGGTCTGTGTTCAGGAGTGTTAAGGGTCTCCCTGCTTCTCTTTAGTCAAACGGCAAGATCTCGCCAAAGTAATGCTATTCAGCAGAAGGGATGGTGTCAACCTGGTGTCCTGCCGGGTCAGCTCAGGGTCACAGTCCCCAGATCCCCATCCCGCCCCTCCCAGACTGGCTCTAACCTGGGGTAGGGAATGGTGCAAATGGCTGGCACTGGGTGCCTCTGGGGCCTCACGGTGACCTCCCTCCAGCCCGATGGTTTGAGAGTCCTCACCCTCAAGACCAGGGAATCGCCTCCCTGTCCACCTGCCAGCACAGACCTTCATATGCCCAGGGCCCCTCCATAAAAACCAAGGACGGGGAAGGAATCACCAGGTGTGCATGGCCCAATCCTCTGATTCTGTTGAGACTGGGGTTTTCCCCTGGTTGTGGGGGGGGGGGGAGCCAGCTTCCTACCCAGCAGGCCAGGTACACACACGTCAGTGCCACATCCAACAACGCCACACGCGTGACCAGCTCTGATGGAGGAGAACGTGGGGACAACCACCCATCTCCCCACAGCCCCGGTGGAAACGGACCTTGGATGGGTCCTGAAAGGTCCTCGGGGCAGCGGCCCCCGCTACCAGCTGGGGGTCACAACGCTTAATGAATCCAGCTGCATGCAGAAAAAAGCCTGGAAGGAAACAGACAAGCCCCAGAAAGAGCGAGCCCTCCGCAGGCTGTGTGCTCTGTCGTGTCCGGGGAAGACAGATTCCGAAGATGGCTGCAGTGCCGCTGTTTACAGGAGGCGCCCTGCTGCACTGTCACAGAAAGGGCTCAGTCGACACCACGTGATGTGGGGGAGGGGGCACCCACCGCCGGGTTGCAGCCACTGCCGGAAGGTTCCGCAGCTTGTGCCACACAGTCAACCAGGTCAGCGCGTGAGCCACAGCAGGTGCACCGGGGGCCGACGCTCACGCAGGTCTGATGTGCAAGCCCCCTAATCCCGGGTCACGTGGGAATGGCGGGCTGCACGGGGGTCCCTCCTCGTCCGGTCACCCTGAAACTGCCACGGACTAGCAAGCAGCCTGGTATTTATACCCACAAAGCCGGCCGAGATGAAGCAGGTAGTTTGTGGACTAAGAAAAGCAAGTAGGTGTCCCCACATCCAAAGCCCATAAAAAGGAAACCAGGCACTGAAGCCCTAACACGCAACCCACTGGAAACCTACAGATTCCCTCTCCAAAGAGAGAGAAGACAGTCCCCCTTCCTGGCCTTCCCTGCTCCTCCAGATCACCCGGAAACCTTTGGAGTTAGGTGAAGACCAAGATGAAGATTTACTACTCCTGCTGGCCGTGTCGCAAGTGACCACGGCGGCCAGAGCTAGATTTGAAGATGGCCATCGCCCAGCTCAGCAGGCAAGCGGGGACCGCGGGTTTCCAGACTTGAGGTCTGTGCTGCTTCCCTTCAACGTAAACGTTCCCCTCGCGGAGGGGGGGGGGGAAAGGGCTGCCGGGAGCTCGACTGTAGGTTCCAA